ACACATACTTTAGCTCCTCGGAGATGATTTCCTTTACATCCAGCCTCCATGTTGCCCATAAAGTCTAGTTTTTATTTCCCTTACCATGTCTTACTCCCACAGTGGATTTTCCTCCATTTCCTGCCTCTGAGGGGTGAAACCTTGCACAATCAATCGCTTTCCTCGCTCATCTAGGATCACATACATATTTCAACCACAAATTTGTGAATCAGGGCTTAGAATTGGTCTTCTAGCTTTAGAAATCGTCGGTACAAGACCTCAAGATTTGTGCTTCATTCTCAAATATTGTTGTAGTGTCTTACACAGATTTATAATGTGTGACATGTCTATGTAATGATTTTGTGTTTGAGGTAATTCTATCAACACAGCCATTTAGTCTTTTTGCTTGCTAAATGCAAAGATTCACCTATTCATTCAAGAAATAAGCTGTTCTCCACTTATCTGTCTTCCCTGAATTCATATTTTGAAATCTTGACTCCTAGGTGATGTAGGCCAGAAGTGAAGCCCTCAGGGATTATGTCAGAAGCTACATTGGAATAAAGCCATGAGCATGACAGAAGAACAGAGCCCAAGTGTTAGAAAGTCTCCAGACAGTGGTCTAACACGTCTGAAGGCTAATTGGATATTTTTTTTCTAGAAGCATCTCAGAGTGTTACATGAAAATAAGAAGCAATGTGGAGTTTGAAAACTCCATATGGAAACAGTAATATCCAAGTACTGCCATGTACACAGGGTACTGCATTCTATGCACAGCTGCACAGGCACCTGGATACCTCAGCTTGGCGGCTCTGCTGCAGTTGCCTGGACAGAGAGTCTGGGGAGTTGGCGCACACTGGAGAGTTACCAGCATTCACCATGCACAAAGGCCAAGGAGGGCAACTTTGGAATTCTGAACAAGTCATGATAATGCTCAGCCAAAAACAAAAATTTTATGAGGAAAATAATCTGTGAATAACTGTGCTGAGCTTTGCTCCCTCATCACATTAGTGTACATTTTCATATACCACATATCTGAAACTCAGGAGGAAGCATTCAGTAATTCTCCAAACCAATGATTTTATAAAAATTTACATGAATACTTAGTCAACTTGTATTTAACATCTATATTACAATAAACTTAGTGCTTTTATGACCAAATAGGTTACATAATTTCCCTGGCCATCAGTTATCCAAACTCACTACTTTCAAATGTTTCCAAAGAACTACACAGGACAATATTTGCAAAGTATATGTAACTCTGTGTCACATGTCACCTGATGTAGAATGTTTCTTGCCAGTGTCTCCTAGCTTTTCCCTCACAAACCTACCAATTGCACACAACCAAATCTCTTCATATTTATTTACAGACTTATAATAAATGTGGACTTCACTCAGCCAAGAATTTCTCCCAGTTCTAAAATATTTCCCCACATGTGATCATGACCTGATTTGCTATTCTTTTTTTTTTTATTTTAAAGAGAAGAAAAATAAAAATATAATAAATCTGGGCTTCAAAATGAGTTACTAAGATAGTTGCAATAATTAATTCACTGCCTGTTGTTGTATTCCTACTAGTTGTTCAGAGTATAAGATACAAGCATGATGTCCTGCCCAAACATTAGCACAATCATTTCTTTTCAATGAAATAAAGAAGCACCCTGCACAACTGTCTTATCTTGTATATATGTACGTCTTATTTTCTTTTTTCCTTTCTTCCTTTACCTTTTGCTCGATCATGGTTTGTCTGGTCTGATCTCCCTTTTTGAATCAAGGAACTTCCTTTTCACCTGACATAATTCTCAACACATATAAACCTAGCAACTCCTATTCACATTTGTCAGCAGTATTTTGAATCATTCCAACTTGTTATGAAGGCAACAGAAAAAGAGCAGCCCCAGAGCTTCTATGTTTCTTGGTTCTCACCTAAAAATCTGTCTTTTTTGTCTCTACAGCTGTCTCTAGGACAAGAAGCAGCACACTCTCCCAGAAGATTAATATAAAAGGTCTAAGAATGCAGGTTTTGAAAGGTGTTCTTTGGTCTGATTTTCTAGAACATGCTGACCTAAAGTTCCTAATGGAACACACCCACTGAGCTGTGTCATCTGGGTGTAGACTCAAGCTCCTGCCTCAGTGTTGTACATGGATGTAGGTGGCTTTTCACCTGATGTTTCAGCAAAGAATTTTCATTCTAGGGCTCTACTAAAGCAGCCAGAGTACCCATGCCACCACGTGAATATTAGGTTGTCTTGAGATTTTATCCACCAGTTGTTGTAGTTCATGGTATGGGTTTTATCTACATATAAACCTTCATGTGGTTACAAGTGGGGTCTTTCCAAGTTAGATGGATCTGGGGTGTGTGCTTCAGGGATCCATAATGTGATTCTGGGATAGTTTCACAGTGCTGTGCTAGCATGAAGCTGCCCAACTTGGGTGCGAGTGTCACCACCCTAGGCCTGGGAAGCCTGCATATGCTGAAAGGAACAGAATAAGGGAGGCTGATTCTTGCTGCCTGCTTGTAGTTCGCTGATTGCTGCATTGCTGCCTCTGCCTGCCATGAACTGTTTATCCTCTGCAATTCCTCTCTACCATGTCACTACCTTCAAACCAGCCAACTATAAACTGAAGCCTCTACAAATAGGGAGCCAAATAAACAGTTTCTCTTTTGGGTGTTAGGCAAATTGTCTCAGCAGCAGGAGGGAAGTAAAGAACAAAGTAAACTCAGAAAATCCTTCGGACACATGCACAATGTAGGCAGATTCTGCCAGAGTATGGTCAGGCAGATGATTTCTCTGCCAACTGCTATTGGAGTCTTTGTTCCCCTGTAAACATCTTAGAGCTTGGCCTTTACTGCCCACACTCTTAGGAACACTATGTTCTCCATCAGAATCTCCCATCAAGCTCAGTGTAGAGCATTTTGGGGCTTGTCATGCTCTCATCTCTTAAGATTTCCAAGTGCCTCCTGCAAGTGAGTTCCATTGCTAACCCACAGAGTCAGACACTTTAACAGCAAAGGTGCCATTCTTTGTCAAATTTAGTGTACTACTCAGATTCTGGTGCTGAAACACAATGCCTGACACTTGTGAATTCAAGGAGGGGAGACATCATTTGGTTCCGTTTATGAGGTGACTTAACCTAGAGGTGCCTGGCTCTGAGACAGAAACATCTTGGAAGGAGGGCATGGCAGAGCACAGCTGCTTATTTCATGGTAGGTAAGCGCCAGAGCAGAACAGGGCTCCTGAGGAAGGAGTGATAACTAGAGTTGAAACAGGGCTTACAGAAAAATGAGTTTTCCTGTTAGAAAGGCCGTCTTCCCAGCAGCTATAATTCCTGGTTCTGTTACAGGATATCATTTGCTATTATGTGACTGTAAGCAAGGCCTATGACATGTCCTCGTCCATTTTCCTTCAAGAATACAGGTAAAGGTGACAACGGTTTTCCTGGATTCACCATAAGCTGGGTCTTATTACATGCTGAAATTTTCCTTCCTAAAAGGCCTACCATTGTCTTCCTTCATATAAACCTGTTTCATTGCCTACAAGTTCTGGATTCAAGATCACACTTATTCCTGGACTATGTGAATGAAACTGGAGCCTTTCCTTTGTCTGATAATCAGCCATTTTGGGCCAGAGTCCCCAATGATGCAGGTGTGTCCCTAATAAAATCCTCCTTTCTCTCCATTACTTTCTCTCATATTTGTATCTGCAACAGATATAGGCACCAACCAATTTCCTGTGTGCCTCTCCCAGGCAGATCCAGAAGTGTGTCCTCCTAACCCTCAAATCAAGTCTAAAGCTCATCAATTGGACACTACACCACAATCACTATGCATACATACAACTGCATGACATTTTCTTATTTGGCAGCATTATTGCAAAGAAAAAAATCCAGTAAAAGCAATGCTACAAAACTTAAAGGCAAGATTGTGGGAGAGTAACTGTAGTGCATTGTGTATTGTTAGCTTTGAAGTAGCAAATATACTTTTTAATAAGGGGGAAAGAAACCACGGAGAAGTGGTTTTAATGACTCGTGTCAACTTGTATAAAATGCTCCATCACAGAAGATATTATAATGAGTGGAACTATCCAAAGAGAGAAAAATCATATGATCCCAATATATGGAATCATCAAAGGATTCAAAGATATAGAGACAGAGAACTAAAGTGTGGTTTACTCAGAGAGGAGAATGGAGGTGAGAAAGGACAGAGATGGAAATCAGAGGATACAAACAGCTGTTACATAGAATGAAAAGCTCTAGCGATCTAATTTGTAAATTGTTGAAACTGTCATTTATACAAAATGAGATTTTCAGCCATTGTGGGCTTGAAAAAAATGTGTAGTTATGGGAAATCATATACCAGTTAATTTGCATTGTTATAGTAACCATTTTGCTATTACCATTTATTTCACAACCTCATGCTGTGGGCATTAAGTATGCACAATACATTTCTCCTTGGTCATATACACCCACAATCATATAATTGTGAAGTATTTAACATGATTTCTTCTCATTTTTATTAGTGCATATTAGTTTACATGTATGATAAGTTTCACTGCCATATTTTCATAGATTAACATGCTTATGAAGCCAGAATACAAATCAAAGGTCTTCTAGTAGAATAATCACTTTGTAATACTTACAGAACTGGCAGGACACTTGGCCCACTGAATAAAGAGATCAGAGAAAAACAAATTATATGCTACTCAAGGATGAAAAGACACCACATCTTGACAATAAGATATATGAGTCAGGAGGTCCTGGAAAAGAATTGAGGCAGCCCCTAGGAGACTAATGGAGGCAATAGGATCCAGAAATACAGAACATGGGACACAGACTTTGGCCACTTCAGAAAACTTTGGTGACTTCAGAAAGGTGCAGCCAGTGCCAGGAATCCTTGGCCAGGAAAGTAATGTGGCTTCAAGAACAAAACATCCCATGGAACATTGGCAGTGTTTCCATAGAGCTAAAACAATACCCACCCTTCCCTGCTGCTTGTGACTTATTCCATGCCTACTCAAGCCACATCACAGCCCTCCAACACTTTCTTGTGTTGAGAGACAGCTGCTCAGAGGCATGCAGTTCCACTGGTTCCAGTCACAGGGCACAGTGACATAATTCAGCTTGAGACTTATTTTGTGTACAGCTTTGTTGTCTTTGGCAGTATGGCAATACAAGGGGAAGCCATTTTCTAGAGTCTGAATCTGGATGTGTGAAAGATAAGATCCAAGGCCCAAGCCATGGTACTCGGGCACAGTGGCTCCCACTCGCAGCTCTCCGGTATAGTCCATCAGGACCCAGGTCACAGGAGTCTTCTCAGGCCCCAGCAGACAGAAGGTGGGGAAGGTCCGGATACAGCGCTCGATGAATCTCTGGCTCCTCTCATTACCACCAAAACCCCAGAACTTATTCACTAAGGCAGCGTGTGCTACATCCAGCAATGAGAGTTTAAACATCTCTTGATTGCTGCTGAGAAAAAGGAAAAAGAACAGAATATAATATCAAAATCATTGTTTCCCCCAGGAAGCAAATTGAGAACAAGTAGGAATACAGGTAATGAGAAAAACTCAGCAATCATAATCTCAATAACTTTGTGCTTTTGGACAGGTAGCTTATATCGCTCTACCTCCATTTCTTGTGGTCTAAAATAAGGATAATAATTGCCTTTCTGTGAAGGGACAGAAAAAATAAGATCTGTTGCATACAGGCATACCAAGCACCCAGACTCACACATACAAGAAAAACTCCATTAAAACTAAGTATTATTATCACAGTAGATTTGTGGTATAATTCCAAGTCGGAGTATGAGATGCCCTCTACCTTGACTTTGTTGCTTAGGATTGATCTATCTTGTCTTTGACAAAAGTTTCAAAAACTCTCAGTAAAACAAAGCCTCTTTAATAAATGGTGCCAGAAAAACTGGATTCCCTCATGCCAAACATGAAAACTAGACCATATTTCTCTCCATTCACTAAATGAAATCAAAATGTATCAAAGATGTAAGAAGCAAATAAAAACACTAAACTGTTGGAAGGGACAATAGGTAGGTCTCGTAAAGAAAGAGGTGGAGGCAAACATTTCATAAACAAAAGCCTGCCCACATGGAAAATAATATAAATTATGGGCAACAGAGATCTCGTCCTGTCCTAAAGCTTTGGCACAGCAAAAGAAATCATCAAGAGAGTGAAAAGACAGCCCATGGAAAGGGAAAGTACCCTAGCCAATTGTCCCTCAGACAAGGGACTGATATCTAAAACACATACAGAATTAAAAAATATTATATCTTCAAATTTAAAGATGCTATCCAAAAATGGGCATCTGAGTTAAATACACATTTTTCAGAGGATGAAATAAATAGCAAATAAATATATGAAAACATGTTCAAGATCATGGGCCATTCTAGACATGTAAATTAATCAACACTGTGATTCCATCTCACCCCAGAAAGAATGGCTATTATAGAAACATCAAGCAATAACAAATGCTGGAGGCACTGGGGCTGTGGGGAAAAAGGAACTCTTCTGCACCCTTGGTGGGTGTGTAGACAGGTGCAAACACTGTGGAAATCAGTGTGAACATGCCTTAAAATAGTAGAATTAGAGACCCCATTCGAACCATCTCTTCCCATTGTATCTTCAGAAGAATTGAAAACATCATACCACAGTGATATATGTGCACCCATGACTATAGCAGTACAGTTTGTAATCTTGGAAACAAACCAAATGCCCGTAAACAGAAAAATGACTTTAAAAAAGCTATGGTTACAGCACCCAGAGCACAGTGAACCAAAAGCACAAAACAATTTCCATATCCATAGCTAAAGAACCAATGAGAGGACCTGCTGCTGTTATGGTCCACAGGCCCTGTCTACCAGGTGGAACATGAACCTCAGAGGAGGCTGATTGGTGCAGAAGAGCATGGAGCAATGCAATGTGACCAGTGAGGTCCAGTGGAAGTTACAGCTACTGAGGAAGAAAGTGACATGAGGACTCACAGCCTAGGGCAGAACAGGAAGAAAGAGATTAAGTGGCTGCTTCTCTTCTCCTATCATCTAGTTTTCCTGTAGTGTGTCTCATTAGCTGAAGCTCAGAAGACATTGCAAATAACACTGGGAAGCATAGTGGAGTAATTAAAAAATGCTGGATTTATAGGTATGTGCCACCACGTCCCACTTTTTTAACCCATGCCCAAGCAGCAGGTCATGGCAAAGTATGTAGCAAAGTAAATTTGTTCATGCCATGGCAACTAGGAAGCAAAGAGAGAAAGAGAGGAAAAGGAGGGGCTGGTGTTCCCATATCCCCACCCCCAAGAACCTAATCTTCTCCAACTACAACCCATCACCTAAAAGTTGTTACTTTCCCAAAAGGAAGCCTTCAGCAAAACAGCCTTTGAAAGATGCTTCAGATTCAAACCCAAACATCATGTCTTCCTTCTATCCAGTTAGAACTTTGGCTTAGCTACAGAGGCAGAATAAGAATCTGTGGACCTTTCTGGACATAAGTAAATAATCCATGCTCTCCAAACCAGATTCTTGGCGATCTACAGATATTTTTAAAAGCCCCTTTTATTGGTATATAGAGTCTGCCCTTTCATTCATTTGGAAGATATTGGATGTCATGAAAATTTTTGTAAATGGAAGCATCTCTGAAAAATTTTAATATAGCATCTTTATTACACTGTCTCCATTAGCATCAAGAATCCATATGCCACAAATAAACTAAATATGCTGGCTTAGTACATATTAGGTCTAACAGAACAAGAAGACTTGGGTCAATTGACTTTTATTGAATAAAGAATGAATAGCACTGAGAGCAGCAAAGCCACATCCTGCCACTTATACCATCGAAGCCCTGCTTCCTCCAGTGCAAATCCCTTATTGAAATGTAAAAGTGCTTTCTAAATCTCAGTATTATAATCATATAAGGTATGAAAATCATTAAGTTCCTTGTTTCCCTAATTTTTAAAATTATGGTACATGGACCAGCTCCTTAAGTATTGCTGGTGTATGGAACTGTGCCAATATCCCAGCTAAAGAAATTCATTTCTGTCATCCACAGCACAATTACTACTCTTATTACTGACTAAATACAACATATTCATTCCACGTTACTGCTAGGCAGTTTGAAATTTCTTGCTCTTTTCTTGTTTGTTTCCTTGTAACCTTTAAAGCAGTTAATATTTTTAACCCAATTTTATGGAATTCTAAAGGGCAAATTATGTCTAATTTTTTCAGCCTTCCAGAAACAAACAAACAAAAAAAGTATGTTTTTTTTTAATCCAATGCAATATTACTCTTCCACAAAGAAGGATAAATCTGAGCCATTTGTAAGTAAATGGATGCAACATGAGACCATATTGAAGTGAATTGAATCAGTCACACATGTATAAATATCCCATTTTTTCTCCAACATAGGACAATGAAATAATAATTAATGACAAAAGTATAGAATAGGCACTGTGAAATAGGAAGAAATGTTTCAAAATAAAAGGGAACCTGGCAGAGGAGGGGATGGAAAAGAAAAGAAAAAATGAGAAAAGAATGATAAAATAAAGCTTCATAGAGAAGGAGTGGAAGAAGGGCTGAAGGGAAGGAAAAACAAATAGGAATCAAGACACAAACACACAGGTAGGAAATCTTTAGCTTGATGTGATCATTCCGTATATCTAAGATATAGCAATCAAATTAATTTTATAGATGAATCACAGCAACTTGTTTCATGAGATTACAAGGTGAAATTGGCTAAGCTTCAGATATTTTTCAGTTTGGCTGTGAAGCTGCTTAGAAGTAAGGCAGAAGATATCAGCCCCATTGTACAGATGAGAACAGTATCTCAAAAGAACATGAGTCAGAACAACAAGGCAAAGCCAGTGAGCAGCAAAGCCAGCCGTTGGAATCATGAAGATTAGCATCCACGGGTCCTCAGCCATTGTGCTGCATACAGGGGGAGTCTGAAGTCGAAAGTCAATGCTTTGGAGCCCAGGCAGCACCTGTAATAGAATACCAAGAAGTAAGGGTTCCCACCATGCTGTCATTGTCTTCCAGGGGCTCCACGGGAACCCTCTGCCTGGCTTTTCATTTTCAAACCACAGTTATGCCATTCATCAGCTATGGGGTACCAGTCCCTTCATCTTCAGAACCTGCCATGGCAGGACTTGGAACGTCTTCTACCTGGATGGTCTCATGGACAGAACCAGGGGTGCTAATGGGGCTCTAAGTGACTCTGCTCCTCCGGTCTGTGCAGTGACACATTTCACTAAGTGAACGAAGGTCTCCTGTTGCTCTGATGCACAAGCATTCAGCATCTGCAAGGCAAACACACACATCATTTTTCAGCTCTATCCCTTCCTACACTTGAACAAAATGAGAGAGGACACCTGCAGCATTTAAATCCCACACCTTTCAATGTGGGTGACCAGACAGAAGGAACAAGCACTAGGAGTAAGTGAAAGTTTGAGGGAAGGTGCTCAGGATGGGAGGTGACCCTACCCTAGTCGCCAGCACACACTCCACTTTCCTTACTTTGGATTTGCAAAAGTTGTTTCCATTATTTTCTTTGTTGGAGAACTTATTCTCTGTGCCTATGCCTAGAGAAACTTTAGGATACTCGTGAGGCTCATAAAAAGGAAGAAATGCATGAAGATAACAGGAAAGGGCTCTGTAGGCAGGCAAACAGTAAGCACAGTTCCCACATCCCTGTGTGAGTCAGCATGTGGGACTGAGTGGCAGAGGAAAGTCCAGAGATGCTGCTGGGAAGCTGCAGGTCATGCTGCACCTGGAGAAGGAATTCGGTTTCATTCAAAGTGCTGAGAGGCCTTGATGGCTCCCAACAGGTGAAGCACAGAACCCAAATGGTGCTCTGGAAGTCCACCCTAGAAATCACTTGTAAGTCAGCAGAAAAGACTGTGGCCCATGAAGCTGGTAAACCACTTTCATTAAAGATGTCAGCATGCTGGGAAGAGCTTCTACAGTCAAACTCACACAATCCTGGGACTCTCAGATTTTAAATGCTGTGTACCCAACAGGGAAGGCACCAGTTTCTTTACTGTCATTGGCATCATATAAAGGATGCACTGTGTTTTCTTGACCTTGACCAATTTAGCAGCCGCAACACTTTGTATCACCTCATTCAAGCTTGACTGTGCACTTAGAGGGGCAGAAGCAAGGATAATCAAATGAAGCATGCTTTAGTAGAAGAGAATCTGGCTCCTATCATTGCCACTTACTAGGAGTGTGTTCAGGTCACTCTCTGAGCATGCTTTCTCTTATGTAAAATAAACAATCCTAAAAAATCTTTCAGTTACTGTGCAAAGGAAGAGTGATATTGAAAATTTAGCTTTGTACATATCTATTAAGGCACTCGTCAAATACGACTTCATTTTTTTCTTTCTACAGACACTATGTTGTAGGGTTTGCATTTTTACTATCCTCATTTTTACAAATGAAGACACAGAAGAACAGTTAAGTTGCTTGGTTACAAGTGCTTACAAAGAGGCTGAACCAGGAAGCAGCTTTTGGTGTTACTAGGGAGAGCAGGATCATAGCCCCAGCAGCTGGACTTCATGGCCCTAAGGAGTCCTGTGGAGCAAGGAGTTGCTGTTACTACTCCACGAATGAGAGGCCTAAGGGAGAGCTCTGTTCTCACATCCAGGGAGCCTGAGGGCCCATGTGAATTTCATGAATCCTCAGCTAAGGAGAAAGTCCCTTATCCAGAGTTCCTGGCATCTGAACCCTACCTGCAGCATTTAAATCCCACACCTTTCAGTGTGGGTGACCAAATAGAAGGACCAAGCACTAGGAGGAAGTGAAAGTTTGAGGGAAGGTGATCAGGATGGGAGGTGACCCTACCCTAGTCTCCAGCACACACCCCACTTTCCTTACTTTGGATCTGCAAATGTTGTTTCCAGTTGATATCATCTGGTTTATCAAGGAATTCTTGACAGTTCTTGGGCTCCTTAGAAAAGATTTGGTAGGTTTTGGGGTAGTGGTCAAGGTCATCGTTCATCTCCTGTGTGGTTTGGCAACATGGTGTTAATCAAACCAGTTATACCCAGACATTTCAATATTTGTTACCTAGCTTTTATGATTGTAGTATTTTCCAAAGTGAAATATGTCTGTTTCACATATTTTTATTTATACTAAATCATTTATGTCAAAAAACCCAATGTGAACTACTCTATTTCCTTTATGTTTTAAAAAATCTTGTCTGGCCAATTATTTATGTGTTGCATTACAATTTAATGTGAAAAAAATGTGCACTGGCTTAAGTAGAATTCCTCCATGATTTTCTATTCTTCCAGAGAAACAAAAAACATAATATTGTCCAGGGAAATCTTTAAATGCAAGATTAATACTATTCTGTTTCAAGGAGTTTCAAAACAAATTATTTTGTGGTGAAATATGACAGTATTGAAACTGATGCAGAAGACTTGGTAGTATTAGAACTTCTATTCCACATCAGAAACAGTTGTCATATTAGGAAAACAGAATGAATACAAATAAACAACCTCATATTACACATCAAACACCTACACAAAGAAAAGCAAGTCAAGACCAAGGTCAAAAGAAGAGAGGAAATTATAAAAATCAGAGCAGAAATTAATGCAATAGAGACTAAGAAACAATCCAAAGAATCAGTGAATCAAAGATTTGATTCTTTGAAAGAATAAATATAGTTGTTAAGCCCCAGCCAACCTTATTTTAAAAAGGGAAGAAAAAGCTCAAATTCATGCAATAAGAAATGAATAAGGTTAAATCACTACAGAATCTGTAGAAATACAGAAGATCATCAACACTTTTTGAAAACCTCTACTCTCAAAGGTTTGATAACACAGAAGAAACAGAGATTCCTAGAAACATGTGAAGTCACAAAGCTAGGTCAAGAAGATGTAAAACTGCTGAGCAGCCCAATCTCTATTAATGAAATTGAAAATGTAATTAAGTCCCTACCTATAAAGCAGAGCCCAGGCCCAAATGGATTCACTGCAGCATTCTACAAAAGTGCCAAGAAGAGTTTGAAATGCAACATTCCTCAAACTCTTCAGTGAAATTGAAAGGGAAGCAATCCTTCCTAAGTCATTCCTGGACAAATATTGCTCTAGACCCAGAACCTGAGAAAGACCCAACTAATAAAGAGAACTAGAGACAAATCTCCCTATCGAACACAGATGCAAAAATCCTCAATAAAATATTGGCAAATAGGATGCAGAAAAATCACCAAGAAGATTATACACCATGACCAACTGGGATTCATCCCAGGCATACAAGAATGGTTTAACATACATTAATCAATAAATGGAACCCAACATATCAATAAAACCAAAAGTAAGAATCACATGACTATTTTCATAGATGCAGAAAAGCTTTTGATAATGTCAAACATTCATTTATGATAAGAACCTTACAGAAAATTGGAATAGATGCTCTTTACCTTAATATAATAAAGGCCCCCAAGAAAAACGAACAACCAGTACCATACTAAATGGCCAAAATTTGAAGGCCTTTACTTTAAAATCAAGCACAACACAAGGATTTCCCTTATCACCACTCCTATTTAATATAGTACGGGTAATACTGGCCAAAGCAATGGGACAAGAGAGACAAATAAATATGGTAAAGATATGAAAAGAAGAATCTAAATTATCATTATTTGTAAATGACACGATACTCTACATAGAAGACCCCCTAAACTCCATTGAAAGACTCTTAGATATAATAAATAAGTTCAGCAATGTAGTTGAAGACAAAATCCATACTCAAAAATCAGTAACATTCCTACACACTAACAACAAGGTCACAGTGAGACAAATAAGAGAAACCACACCTTTCACACTAGTAACCAAAAAAATGAACTATTTAGGAAATACTCTAATGAAAGAAGTGAAAGACCTTTACAAGGAGAATTATGATACACTGAAAGAGAAATTGAAGACCATCTCACAAAGTGGAAAGACATCCTTGCTCATGGATAGGAAGAATAAATACTGTGAAAATGGCCATTCTCCCAAAACTGTTATATAGATTCAATGCAATCCTGATGAAAATACCAACAACATACATCAGATATCTAGAGAAATCACTGCTAAAATTCATCTGGAACATGAAGAAACGTAGAATAGCAAATACAGTTCTAAACAACAAAGGCAAGGCAGGAAGCATCACAATCCCTGACTTGAAGTTATACTACAAAGCAACTGTAGTAAAATCAAAATGATACTTGAATCAAAACAGAGCTGAAGATCAGTTATATAGATAAGATGATACAACTAAAACTGCATACAATTCAGCCACTTTATCTTTGATAAAAACTTAAAATCATTGAGTGGAAGAAAGATAGTCTTTTCAATAAATGGTGCTGCAAAAACTGGTTCCACCTATGCTGAAAAGTAAAAGTAGAACCATGCGTATTATTGTGAACTAAACTAAGTCTAAATGGATCAAAGTTCTAAATATTAAAACAGAAACACTAAATCTGTTGGAAGACAAAGTAGGTTGAAATCTTGAAGACATAGGGGCAAGTAGAGAATTCATGAACAAGAACCAAACTGCATGAAAAATACTTCCCAGAATAAATAACTGGAATCATGTCCTTTTGAACAGTTTTGCATGTTAAAAGAAATCTCCTGCATAGTGTAAAGGGAACCCACAAATTGGGGGAAAATGGTCTGGGGACCATTAGTGAATGTTCCCTCAGACAAAGGACCTCTAGCCAGAACATATAGATAATTAAATATCTGATCCCCAAGATTCAAATACCTATTGCAAAAATGGGCATCTGAGATAAATATACAGTTCACAGAGGAAGAAATACAAATGTTAAATAAATACATGGAAAAATGTTCACCACCATTGGTCATTAGAGAAATGCAAATTAAAACCACACTGAGATTCCATTTCACTCCAGAAAGGATGTCCAGGACCAAGAAAACTAGCAACAACAAATGCTGAAGAGGCTGTGGCAAAAAGCAACTCCTCTGCCCTGTTGGTGGAAATGTAGACTGGTGCAGCCACTGTGGAAGTCAGTCTGGAGATGTCTCAAAACCTAGGATTGGCAGTCCCATTTGTTCCAGCTATTCCACTTCTAAGCATATTCTGAGAAGAACTGAAAGCATCATACCACGGTGATATATGTGCACCCATGTTTGTAGCAGCACAATGTATAATAGCCACATCTTGGAAACAACCTAAGTGTCCATCAACATGAATGGATAAAAAAGTTGTGGTATTTCTATACAATGGAGTACTACTCAGCTATAAAGAATGATCACATTGAGATATTTATAAATAAATGTGTGCAGCTTGAGATAATACTCATAAGTGAAAGAAATCCAACCCACATTTATAAATGCCAAATAGCTTCCCTAGTATAAGAAATGGTAAGAATATGTAAAAGTATGTGATAATCTCGATTCCCCATTTTATTGCTTTAAGCCTTATTATATTTTCATTCATTAATTGGAATTATTTTATTCTGGGTTGTTTGATTTTATTATCTGTGATGCTATTAGCAGCTGTTTTGAAGAAAAGAAGACATCATAATAGCTAGTGCTGATTTAATATCATCTTGTTTTGACATCCCATCAAGCTTTTGTTCTTCTGTCTCCATGGGTCTTAACATGCATATTAATAGATTTTCTTATTTGTGATAGTACAAACAAAACTTTTATAGACAAGTAGATAATATAGAAACCATTGTTCATTTTCTTTTAGTTGGCTCTATATACCCTGTAATACTGTCATTCTCTTGAATGGTTTTACATTGTCTTGATATGTTTGATGCAGCAGTGTATGAAGTTATACTCACATATTCCAAGGAAAGAGACACCATGGTAACTACTGTTATTTCAGGATATCTTGTGTTGATACACTATGTTGCTTAAGTTGTTATGTTCTGACCTGAGCTGTTGTGTTGTTATTTCCTCTTTTATCTCAATCTCCTTTTTTATTTTTTATTTATTTCTATTTGTATTTCTTTAGTTAAGAGAAAAACGAACTTAAAAGTAGCAGGATATATTATAGTAACCACTTTGACATCTTATTAAAATGATTTGAAGCCCTGTATTTCTCTCATCATCTTGTTTTGACTGATTTTACTCTATTCTGTTTTGCTTGATAGTATCAAGTTTGAGGGTATAGGCAACTACTTTGAAGACAATAAGATTCACTATGATGCCCATTCAGGTTTGACTATTATATTCTTTTGAGGTACAATAATGTCTCCATTGTTTCAGTTTTATTGGTTTTGTTCTGTACAGTTTTGTTCAATTTTATTATAAATGATGATATAGGCAATTCTTTTTAAGATAGCAAGAGGCATTATGATAACCTTTGTTGATCACCTTGAATTCTGTTTTTACATCATGTACTATGTCCATCCTTTTGATTTGAATGACTCTGTTTTGTTATGTCACATTTGGTTTTATTCTTTTCAAAAACAGTTATAAGAAATGTGCGAGTAGTACAACCCAATATGTGTAATTGTTATTGTAAAAAGGAAAGGAAAAGAAATTGCCCTAAAGTATATAACTGCATGTATATTTAAGTGTACAAGATAGATAACCATATTACTGAGGTTTTTTTGATCATTGAACAGAACTGTTTGTAATGTCACTGTTTGTCCTCTTTGTATGCTTTAATTTAGTAACTTGAACAACTATATCTAAGATGAATATATGTAATCTATTAAGTAGTGATTTTTTACCTTTCAGATTCTATATTTCTTGTACACTTTTTCTGGTTTTTTTTCTCTTTAAATAAAATTTAAAAAAATAAAATATGATTTTCATTTTTTTGATTTTTTAAAATTAATGTAAATTTCTGTATTTGTTCTTCTGTGTTGTTTTATAGCTTTTAATAAATAATGATATGTATACAGTGTATGACACGATGTCACGAGGGACATACAGAGTTACTGAGCAGGTTGCTGCAAAACATTGACTGCTACTGTGCAGAAAATTTAAAGATCAATCACTTTGCCTTATTACCCTACTTGCTCTTGTATGAAAAACAGCTG